ATGGTGGAGAACCCATCTCCAAACGAAAATGGTGTCATCCACTCTCTTGAAAACATGGTGGACAATAACGCTGCACAATCTCCTCCATCATCAGAAAATACTTCGAATATAAACCAATTWAAATTGGGTTCATTCAGTCTCCAATCTGGTGAATCTAATAAAACTTATCAGAAAACCGATGGTTATCCACAAGTTGGATATTCAAATGAAACAAATTCTTCCTTGAGTAGGACCGTACCGCAAGGTGGTCAATCAAGTGACCCTGTTCCAAACCAATCTAGTTTCAAGGAAAAATCCGATGCAGGCAATTATTACCTTAACAAAGAAATTGTCCCGCAAGAACGAAATAACCTCACCGAAGTTATAAAAACTTCAGCAACTCCAGCACAAAATGATAAGCCTCTTGTCCAAAGTTCGCTTGTCCAAAGTCCTCCTGTCCAAAGTCCGATCAGCAGCAGCAGCAGCAGTCCAAATGAAGACATCAGCTCGTTATCAGGATCGGAAGAAAATGAGAAAGCATCCACAAAAGGTGCACAAGAATCAAACGATGAAAGCTTTGACCTGATGGAATCGAATTCTGGATCTGGRAGTGGAATGGTTTCAACTATTAAGGGTGTGGAAGCCGAAAACAATGACGATGAAAGTAGTGGAGATGAAAGTAGTGCTGTCGAGGATAGTGTAACAACTGGGAATGAAGAATACTCAACTATCTCCAAAATGCCAGGAAATCAACCAGAAAGTGCACCTAACTCATACCCTGCTCCAAGTATAAGCCCAAATAAGGAGAACTATGATAACAGAAGTGAAGAAGCTAGWGTGTCCACTGCTCAGTCTAGTGATAACACAGTGGAAAAATACGTAACTGGCKCAAAAGAGGATTGGASTTTGAATAGTGGAGCAAAGTCGGTGCAAYCAGGMCATGAAAATTATGATGTAAATGCAGGTTCRCAAAATGTACCTGAGCAGAAAAATASTGAMAATACCACCCAATACTCGACAGACCAATATAATAGCRTGAGCCATAGCACAGAAAGCGCTTTAGACACAAATKCAAGCAGCATTAGTACAGTACAAGGTTCTSTTGSTAGGAACGARAATACAAATGYTAACYCTGAGCCGGTTGTCAACAAGCAAGGTAYTGTCGATGAAAATGTAAATTCTTATGAAAGTGGTGACAGCAGTGCCTCAGGAACYGACGAAGAATTTGTAGGCAATGGCGACCAATCTTATTCTAATCTAAATACTTTGAAAAAAATGCCTGGACATTTCATTCGTACAGATAATCGTGCTGCAAATGAACCAGTGATTCCAAATTT